TTCCTTTCTTTCATTCTTCTGCTGTTCGCCTTTCTTTTTTTTAATTTTTAGTTACCTAACCAGCTCGCCTGTACTCTTTCACTTCTACCAACTGTAAAAGCGAGTCGTATATTTGCTTATTCCCACAGTTTCTCAAGAAGGTCATAATATATAAAAAAAAAAACAAGCACTCCGCCAGAAAAAAAAGTAAGGCGATCGCTGTCAGACCTTACGAAATGAGATTAGCCTAAAATTCACCGACTAAATGCCCGCGTCGGTAACGCTGACCCCTGAGAGACCTCGGATGGCCGGTTCACAAAAATGGCGGAACAAATCTCCGGCGACTCGCTGCCTCCTTCTATCTACATGCCGAGCACGTCATACGTCTTCACGACACTGCTCAGCGCGAACAGAAACGCCATCGCTGTTTGCATGCCCTTTACTCCCAGCCAAGCACGTGCTCGTCGGTCGGGCCGGCATCGCCGCCGAAGGCTCACGCGAAACAATGGCTTCGCCCAGGGGGCTTTTTTTGGCGGGACGCATTAGAGCGTCAGCGCGTATATCCAAAGTACTTCCGGGTCAGCTCGTACACCTCGGTATTTACGGGGAAATAGAACACCCGCCTTCGGGTATTCTTGAGTCTTGCGTGCGTGTGTGTGCGCGCGCGTTTTATTACGAAGCTCGTAATTATGTTGCGGCGATTCCGCGCTAGTGATGAATTCGTATTATTGGATTCAAGTTACTGACGCGTAAGTCTTGAGAGATTTAAAGTGGACCAGTATTAACATAACGAGTGAGAAAAATTTTCAGAAGATAAACATAGAAGTAAACTGGTCAAAATCTGCTTTAACAAGGGCGTTGATAAAAGTGATTTCTGTAGGGTTTCTTTTTTTCTTTAATTTTGTGTTTCCTTTTTTGGTTGGAAATTTGGAACGCGTTCTAAGATGGTTTAGCGTTACATTAAGCTATTGCGCCTCGTTGGAAGAATTACCGAAACGCGACGAAATAATAAAACTGGGGTACGAAAGGACATAGGTGAGATAACTGGTGCTCACAAGTTGCTAGATATACGTATATTCAACAACTTGCCAACGCGATTCTGTTAGACTAAAAAAAGACGTAAACAAGATTTATACGATTATGGTACGAACAGCGTTCGACAAACTGTAGGCTATGCGCCGAGAAATTGAGGGAGAGAACGAGGTGGGAGCGACCGGCGACGTCGAAGCGCCGAGCTCTGGTTGGAACGATTAGTGGGTAGAGCGAAAGCTATAGCAGCCTTTGTCTCCAATGCAGTCGTCGGAAGCGTTAGAACGCGGAAAGCAAGCACCTGGCGCTTGGCTCTCGCATTCGAACATTCTCGGCGCATATCTTATCATGGCGGTGATGGCTCCGAATTCATTACCGACCTGCTCTAGAGATACCGAGAGTTGGTCAACCTCCCGTGAGAAAACAGGAAACGTAATTTCCAGTAGAAAGGGTCGCTCCCCTTGTAGACCACGCGAGGGACCCTCAGGCTGGTTCGGGGATTCGCCTTTCAACGTGACGGATTGAGTGCAAGGAGCTTTCTTGAGCTCCCCAAACCAAACGCGTTTTCGGATTATCCAGGTTTTATTCTTCGAGGTTTTTATTTAAATTTTCGGTGATATCGCGAAAAAAAATTATTATTGTTACTTGAAATTTCGGTAACTGGCTCAGATCGATGGTGTCTCACAGTGTGTTGAACAAATTTTGAGGCTAAACAAAGACATTTAAAGGCAAGCAGAAGCGATCCTGTACTTGAGTAAGAACACTTATATCGCATTCATTTGACCTCCAGGATCACGGATATCGAGATTATTTTTCGATTTGGTGCACGGAGGCTGCAGAAAATTATTTTCAAACTAGCGCTGAAGTCCCTCCTTCCAACAGCGGTACTTCATAAAAGGAGTTTTGGCTTCGCTCTCTCGCATCTTCAGCGCCGATGAAAGCTATGCACGCACACTCTTGCTATCTGCAAAAAGGTCAGAAGGATACGTCACGACTGGTGTTAGGGCAGGCGCTGCCCACACGAGCCACACGTGCTTGACGGCCGAAAGGTCCTTTTACGACGTAAGGACTGGTAGGAACTTTTTCGTGCTTTCTCGAGTTTAGTTACAGCTGCGGGGAAAACGAACAGGATATTCAGATTCGCAAGATAAAATTACTCTAGAATTCGCCTCTAACTGGTTTTCTTTTTCAAGAACCCCATCAGCTTGACTTTAAAGGCAGACGTACAACCTCGGTTTTCTGCAGGGAAGATAATCTTAGCGCTCCCCCCATCTAAGCTGCGAGGAGAGCCAAGTGGGGACAAGGTAAAAAGTGGAGAGGATATAGAGAAGGGGGAGGTGTGCAAAAGTGGAAAGTTCAAAGCGGAAGCGTTGCGCGGACTTCGGTTGACATAGCAACCATCTCGTTATAACCAGTCACAAGCGGTCACAAATCAGTCGGTCACACTCAAACGCAAATGTGTGATCAAGCCAGTAACTGAGAAACCGCTGAACATCAAGGTCGCACGATCACTTCGGGAAATGCAGCGAGCTACCTGGTGACGTGATGGCGGGTAACGTTGGTTTGTTTCGTACCCCTTTGGTGCAGTTGAACACATAAAGACCCGTTGGCACACTTGTGTTTACGTACGACCGAGCTCTTGCGGTCTTTTACGAGGAGAGAACAATCAGAGAGCCTATATTGCAGAGAGTGTCCAACTGCACGATCGGAGTCACGTGGTTTATGTGCCGCATTTGCAATACGAGCTCCGAGGAGGCGACGAACGCGTTGATCGTCTGCGAACGCTTCCGCTTTTCCGCCTGCTCCCCTCCGCGCCACGCGACAACGCAGCGGATGCGCGCTTGAGAGCACTCGGCGCGGGAGGCGTCCGCCATTAACTTGCAAACGCTTTCCATGATATTGTGATGAGCCCTCTGTTCAATCCGGGCTCTCTAGGGAACACACTGGCACGCTGGCGCCACTTATGAGGTGACCCCGGAGCTGCATTTCGCTAGAGGGAATGTTTTGCGGTATTTGCGAGATCAAATGTATTTACCATCGATGAGAAATAATCTTTGTTAACATCGTCAGAAGCTTTTTGAACCAAGGAAAAAAGATTGATGCGACAAAAAATAGAAAAAACACGGAAATGCCAAGTTTACCACGCAGATAGCGCCAGATTGTTCTCTCGTCGTACCAGATTTTAAGAGGTTTTGAGACACCTAGTCGTAAGCAGTCGCAAGTGTCCGAACCAGCTTTTAAACAGGGATATAACACAGGTAATGCGGTAAAGATCAGAACAAAAACAACGACACTTTGAACTAAGCGTCGTGGAATGTCGATCCTTACGTTCCTCGTAAAAACGCGCGTTCGCTACTCGCCTTGGATGTCGCAATCGCAGATGGCGTAGGGTATCTCTTATCGTTCGTCGAGGGCTATATTCGTCCGTTACCTCAGAGTGGTGGCCGGCTCCTTTGAATACGGAATGACTTTTCACGGCAGGGCAGCAGTGAGCGTCGAACGACGCGTAATAAAACCGAATCGAAAGTTACGTGCGCACCTTTATATGAGGAAGTGCAAGACGGTAATGTGGCATATTTTAAGACTTTATTTGTTTCGCTAATGAATACAGTGCTTTAACATAAAGTGAAAACTGGCCCCGTCTGAACGTACCGGCGTATGGTGACTGCATAGTATGTAGGCGTGAGGCAGCCGCCTTAGCCGTTGCAAGTAGAACGTCGTCCCGCCAATGCCACCTAAAAGACAAGGCTGTCGGATGACGTCATCGTTGGTGGACCAGCCCTAAGGGGCTCGCACCCTGAAGCTCTACGAGAGTCGGCGCAAACCTGAAGACGCGCCAGTTTTGGCGTCGCCGCATGCTGTGCGTAGAGCAAGTCTGCTTCTTGCGCAGGGCTTGCGGCGACGTCAGAATGATGCCGAGTTCTGATTGGCATTGATTGGAAGGATAATGGGTAGACCTCAACTAAATGCCTCAAGGTCTACAAACTATTTTTTTTTTCTTTCATTCAGCCAATAAGACCGAATGTAGTGGATCCGCTGCGAGGATCCACTACATAAAGTCCCTTGATAAAATTTACGCTTTCAAGCATCGTCAACCATCGTTGTAGAAACGCGCGAGACACGTGCTACGAGTGAGCGCTCCGCCGCCATTCGCTTCCAGGAGCCACTAATCTCAGTGCTGCGCCGCCATTTTCTTCCAAGGGCCGCTCGAGACACCGGTCTCGTGCACTGGCGCATTTGAAGCTATTGAGGCTTTACACACGCGCCAGAATGCAGCCGCCATTGCTGACCTGCGCTTGACGGAGATACCGAGCCGCTGGAACGGGTGTTGACGAGCCTCCAGAAAGGCCAATGCCGGGAAGAAGGACACAATGGAATCTAAGATGGCAAAAACCTTGACTGCTATGGTAATGACGAAGTGAAGAAAATAAAATAGGCGGAAACAAAAACTGAAGGTCAGTTATGGCGGCGGCCATGCACAACTGCTGTAAAGCGTCTATACTTGCAAGACAATCGCAAACACATCGAGGCGCTTTACCACACTTCGTTTCAGCTGAAGTCCAGAAGCAGCCGATGCTGCAAGTGCGAGAATGTTGTCCTCAACAGTGCTCGTAGCGCGCGCGGGCGCGCGTGCTTGGCAGGGACGATGAAAGCGAAAGCCCGGAGCTCGTGCTAGTACCATTGGTTGCGTCTCGACTTAAGCCGAAACCAAGTATAGGGCGCATTCACTGGACGCCATATTTGAGGGCGATGTTAAGGCCGCATGCTCAGAACGAGCTTACATTAATAGCCTGCTAAGACCGACAATCTTGATGGTGATAAATGCACGCTCCAAAAGAACTGCGGAAGCTCGCCGTCAGCACGTGCTCGGCAACCACGCACACAGATATGGCCACCAGTGAATACTCCCTATAGTTGGGACTTTTTTTAAACCCTCAAGGAGCGTTGTTGTAGCATCCTAACCAACACCGTGTACTTTTTTTTTTCTGCAGGTCTGACGTGCCTAGCCCTGGCTATTGCCGTCCCAACAGTAAGCGTAAGTGTCTTCTCACAATATAATGTAAAAAAAACACGCGAATTACGAGCAAAGTCTTGCGGTGTCGCTCACCCAGAGGATATTCATGACACACATTTGCCGCCAGGCGCATTTCCTGTAAGTTACGGCACACTGCCAGCTTTCTAGACGTGCTGGCTGGTAGCGCGACTGGACGGCACACGACGAAAAATCGCGATAAAAAAACAGCACTCGTAAAAACAACACGTGACAAGAGGCGTCAAAAGAGCATGGCGCTGGTTTATTTTGATGCCGTGCTGCTTTGATTCGTGCTGTCTCGTCACATGCTGATCTGCATTGTACTGTGTTTTCGTGGCGCCTTGCAAGAAGCTATCCGACCATAACCTCTCTGATATAAACAGATTTAAATACTACCCATTTTTTGAAGTCACGTTATATTTTTTACTAATTTCGAACAGCTTAAAATTAAGCCACAGCCGGCACCATGCAGTGTGTAGAAGTAGTTGGACCTAGTTACCTTGGTTTCGTGCTAATCGTTAAAATTTTCCGGCTCACACGTCTGACAGTGTCGTCTGCATTAATAATTAACAAGGATTTCAAGATCTTCCCCCAGTGTAAACGACGTTATATTCAAGGATTTGTTGTCCACCCGAGTGACCAACGAGTATCTTTTCCTAACACTTCGCAGGAGAAAGGTTTCGCGTTAAGGAATCAATCGGTTAATGGTTTCGATATATTATGAATATAATCATGTGTCGAAGTCGTCAGTATCATTCAATTGGCGAAATGGGCGCCAATCAACTCCTCGCGAAATATAGGTCGTTTACCGTAAACATTACATTTTTTATGAGTTTGCGTTCGGTCATTTTCCGAGCTAGCGCTCATATTTCTTGTTTCAAGACGGCACCAAATTAACCAAATTAACCAGAATTTGGTGCCGTCTTTGCAATTTCGATTCGAAAGAGTAGAAGAAATTGTAATTGTGCTAGTTGGTGAACGCCATGAAGCATGCTACAAGGCGCATCTAACAACGGACACAAAGAAGAAGACACCTACACAGGCTCCGCTCACTATATTGGAAAAGTGCAGAAAAGAAAGAAATTCTTATCTCGCCTCCTTCATCATCGCTTTCATGTCTGCGCTCTGCCGGGGCCGTGTATCCCCCGGCCAAGCGCATGTGTGGACGTGATGAATGTGACGAGATGCGTATCTCCTTCCTTTCTTCATTTTTCAAATATGCTGTGGGTGGCGCCTGCGTGTATGTCTTCTTCGTTGTTTCGTTGTTCTTTTCCCTTTGCACCAGGCTTCACAACGTAATAGTAAACGTTCTCCGCAAATGGTCGACTTACATGGACACGCTCAAAACAGATGTTTAGCGATCCATGCAAGAATAAATGATTTCTTTACAGTCTCTTGATTCGGCGAGTGTGTAGAAGGCATTGAAACACCGCTGTGAATCTCGTCGTTTGCAACTCGCTTTACGCAATCCCTAGGCGACGGAGCATTCCCTTCCTCAATGAGGTCAACAATGAAAAAACGAAGAAGCAAAACTGGAAATCTGATGACCTTGAGGATCGGGGCTCGCTTTTAGATGTTTCGTTTGGGTTTCCGCCAAGTAAAACGTATGATATTTGACAAAACAAACAAAACGTAAATCCTTACTCGAAGAGAAGGAGAAGCCATTTGGTTGGTATGCAATCCTCTTACAAGTAGTTAGGCGAGATTGCGCCAAGATTAGCGCAGTCAATTTAGCGATATTAACGCCTGTTTTGGTCATGTGGGAAAAGGCGCTTGGTTTTACCGTACCATTAAATAGTCATTTGCGTTTAGTTAACGGCTTACGCCTTTAGCACTTAATATGATTTGGAAAGCAATGTTAGAGTTATTGAGCACATATCTAAGGAACTGTAAACCGCTGCCTTTAAACCTCCTACCGGGATCATAGATTTACTCATCGCTCTCTGAGCGCGTTAACTCCAAATAATAGGTAGGATAGTCTATTAGGTTGATGTAAACTTACAGCGTGGTTCACTATCGCCTACAGTGTTAACGAAAGCAGCCGGTGCTCTGTTACGCTATGCTTCACAAATAAAACCTCCGATGTTGTGTGTGCACACTAACTTCGTTTTGTCTGCGAAAATACCGATCAGTGTTAAAAAAAAAATTAGTTTTACATAACTGACATTATGAGTATACAACTGGCACATATATTAAAAAATTAAGTACGTTTCAACTTAAATACTGATACAACAAGCGCCAACACTGCAAAACGTTGGCTTCATTGCAGAGCAGCCATGTTCTGCACCAAAGTCAATTTTCGCTTTTTGGTACAAAGGTTATGTCAAAAGCGTAACTTTCGCTTTCTCATGAATACCGAACTGAAACGCAGAATGTGCTAAGCGGTGCTAATCTTGAGTGTTTTTTTTTTTCTTCTAATATTGCATGTTGGATCTTCTTTTTCCCATATGCGATAGCTTTAAGTACACCGTTCATCGTTATGCTGACAGGGCGGTGAAAGCTACGTGCTGGTTCGACTAGTCAATTGTCGGTCTTGCACCACGTGATTACGCTCTTTACCCATACTCTCGAGCGAAGAGCAGACTCAAAGAATGAAAAGTAAGCGATAGGTTCGACGGACGAACACGCAGCTTTCGTCGCCCTGTCAGCTTGGCGGAGAACAAAGTATAGTAACTTTCGCGAAGTAAACGTTTTTTGTTTTGTTTTTTTACACACCTCAGGGGGCAACAAAAGTTCGAATAAAAAAGCAACGCTCTCGTTTCACGCTTCCACAGTGCGAATTCTACTTACGTGCTGTAAATAGGTTAGGTCTTATAATCCCCTGCTCCAAACCATCGGTTAATAGCCTTACACTAGCGTAACGCGAAACGGAGTAGTTGCGAAAATGTGACAGGCCAATGCTTTCCCTTGGAGCTCGCGGAGCGTGCGTGGCGTCTGCGTTAAAATGACGCCCGGCGTCAAACATTCTTTGAACTGTTCCCTACGCAGAAGGACAACCGCCGTGCCAAGCGGGCAGCGTACGAGCTCCCGGCCGACGCAGAGCTCATCGTGGGCAGCTACCAGACAACGTTCAGCTGCGACGGCCTGAGGTACGGCTACTACGCTGACACGGACAACGAGTGCAAGATCTTCCACATCTGCCACGAACAGGTGCTCGCCGACGGAACTAAGCAGGTAAGCGAGCACGCGACGTCGCACAACACAACTGCATTGACGTGATACCACCTAGGACACTGTTTACGGACTGGTCAGCGTTCGCCCACACCAGGTGTAGGCAATTCGCGTGAGCAGAAACCAGACTCGCACCGAACCGACAACAGCGCCACCGCAGAGGGGAGACGTCAGGGTCGTGCATTTATGAGAAGTTAAGAGCCCTGTGGTATGCCACGTTTCCAGCTTGAGCTTTTTTGCCTTTAGTAACATTTTGTCGCACGCTTAGCCAAAGCCCGGCGGGAGGCAACGGGCATGTACTGGAGGCAGAGCGTCAACTGGGTTCTTGACCTCCCACAGACTGTGACAGACACCCGGCTTACCGACCTCTCCCAAAAGGCAGACAAGTTAAAGCTCAACTAGAGTACGCCGCCAAGCGGCAGAGTTGAGCGTCTCACCGTCATCGTGCGCTGGCAATGCCGTCGCTGTGGTAGAGAGATATAACTTTTATTTGAAGTGCCACTTGGTGGCGCTGCGGGATGTACTTGCGGCGACGTCACCGCGAGCAAGGCGTTTTTGCGTGGATCCATAAGTGATTAGGTAAAACAAGAAAATGCCGAGGGCTTGTTCTCTAGGCGCTAATGATTCATGTTCCGCCCGGCCGTTTTGTGCAAGAAACCCAGGCCAGGATGCCTTGAACAAATACGAGATACTAATTGGACAGCAGGTTGGACGCTTTCCCTTAATATAGGCTATCATGAAATCTTCGCCGACATCGTTTTGTTTTAGTCCCACAGCAAAGGCCTTAACGCTCACTACACTGATGTTTTGGTGTTGTCCCGACAAACACTGACTTACGTGGGTTCTCAAGTAAAAGCAATATTATACCCGTAATATTGGTAAAATTGGGCCCAGCGGCTTGTCGAACGTCATGCATGTTGAGTGCCGAATCTAGTTTCGTCGTTCTGATCAAGCACCAACTTAGTCTCCCATTTCGTTTCTTCTCCTCAATGACGCAGCAAAACCACTGGAGCTTCTTCTGTGGCAACCAGACGGTGTTCAACCAGCTCACGCTCACGTGTGCCTTTCCGGAGGAGGCCGTGCCCTGCAGCAACGCCAGGGACTTCTACTACGTGAACGACAACATCGGCGTCGAAGACGCGCCTTTCCTCACCGACGACGACGTCGCCCGTGGCCAGGCCCTCTATTCCGGCTACGGAGCGCGTCTCAGCGGTCGTGCGGCCGCCGCCAGCAAGAAGTAATAGAAGATAGCTGCCACCACGGTGGAAAAAGAGAAATGTTTCTGAACGATGCCGCCTTGCCATGGAGCAAAGGTGGCGAAGGTCCGCTCGCATTTCTGGCAAACGCCTTGAGATGTCGCAACATCTCTCGGGGCATCTTAAGGAGCATCAAATATCAAGGAACCGTCCTTACTAGTGCGCACGTTTACAAGGCCGCGACAATGCAAAGGCCCCTAAACCGTCGTGCCCCTGCCGGGAGATTCATGAAGCCCGAGCGAACTTTTGCCGCTTGGACTGGCTTTGTTCAGACACCTCTCTCTTCTTTCAACATGGCTGCGACCGATCAGAATCAATGACCAACGAGATGACCACCAACCACCATCACAAACCAGAAATCACACCGAATGAACGAAGCTCTGTTCACTTGACGCCAAACACCGCGCCCAACTGGACCGTCAGAGTTGTGGTGTCCCTGTTTACTTTCATTACGCTTTGGAGCGGAACTTACGTCGTCTATGCCTGTTCTGCCTATGCACTGAAGCCCATGCTAGGGGAGCTTAAAAATATTACTCAGCAAACAATTAGCGACGAGGTCGTCCTATGTCCTGGTAAGAAGGTGATACCGCTCTGAAGAAGTAAGAGCTATTGAGATCTTGCTTCGATGTTCGCTATGGTTCGGTGAATAGTTTATTGTCTTGTAGCCTGTACGATTGACAAAGTTACGTGCTACCTAAAGACATAACATTCACAAGAAAGTTGTATTAGATGCACGTTTTAAACTGCATTCACAGGTATCTGGAGGCATGGCTAAAGGTCTCTTTCTTTCTCGGAAGGTAGGCATATGTGACAGTACAACAAAAGGCAATGTTTAGAAAAAAAAAAAACGAGGACGAAATTTTTGTTGCACTGTATAACCCCAAAACACTTGTCAGGGCACGACTGTGGTACTTGTTTTTTTTTTTTTCAATTTTAAACTGCAGGTTACGTGGTAAATATTTGTATGTTTGTTAAGCCTCTCAGCTAGCTGCATTGTAAGTAGTCCAACTGCGAAGTTCGCAGGCTCAGGATCTGTGGAAGATTTTGAAACGGTTTATTAATTTCTGCTTTTACCCTTGTAACTTGTGCGCTGCTGCAAGTGAGTGACAATTCCAGTTGAGCAGTGCATAAGCAAGGGTTTTGCCTATTTCTTAGATATTTCTATTTTATCATTTTAAATGTACTAAAACCCATGTGACTACTCATGCTACGGAAACGCAGAAACGTGAGAAGTCTTTGATTTCTTTCATACGCCAAACAGAAAGACACCTGCAGTCACGTGAGTCTACCACTCAGACAGCTGATTGGCTGATCCCTGTCATCTATGTTTAACGCTAACTACGTTTCCTTCTCCGCTCTTTATTTCTCACATCTTTGAACGTAACTTATTTCATGGAAGTCTTTATGGGGTCTTGTACAAACTTCAGTGCGCGTTGCAATAACCCATCCTGCGGTGGTGTCGGACTCCGATGGTCGTGATTTTCACTGTCCAGTGTCTCTAGTGGCATTACTCGTCTTCATAACGATGTTCACCTCAACTAACAACATCTCGCTGGCTGAGAAAGTTTGTTTCAAACTCCTTGTGTCTTTGTTTCTTGTCTTTAAAATAATCGTTCAAGCAGCGTTCGGTGTCTTTGTGGGATTTTGACGTACACTTTGGGATTTTTAAGGTTCTCGTCGAGCAACAGGTAATAAATTTTAGGCTCTTCTTTTGTAATTCTGGCTAATAATTGTCCTCTATAGCGTTTTTTTTTCTGCGTATTTGATTTAATGTTATCGAAGCTTTCTCCGCATTGTTACTTGACTAGATAAACGGCCAAATGTCAATGCTTGAAAGCAGTTTTCTAGTGCATGTGTGTATGTTGTTTCTTGTTACGTGCGATCTTTCGTTTTGTTGTGATGCTTTTTGTTGCCCAGTTGTTACGTTTCCTGTTTCAACGTTTCATTTTTTTAAGTATGTATAAAAGTTGAACTGCAATAAAATAATGAAGAATACAATCTAACCATGGTGTATTTTTCTTATCAAGTCAAGTCTATGCGCAAGCATTCATCAACAAGAGTTGTCGATGGCAGGTGCTATTTGAACATGTCTGTGAATTCCTAATTGGAATAAAAAAAACCTGCCCTCGGAGGTAATATTATCGAACAATATAGCTCATAGTTGCTGAGGAGAAGGAGAAAGTGACTGAGTTAGTGCCGACATGTTTCGGCCGCGGCCGGTCCTTAGGCAGTCTATTTAAGAACTACTCAAATCAAATCAAGTCTTACTTAATACATACATATTTTATTTTACATATACATATTTTATCTAGTTCGTAGGCACAGTGATGAAGGACATGCCAGGACCGAAGTGCTTTTGCATCGTCTCCACCGCTGTCCCCTTTACAGCAACAACTAAGGGCAGTATTGTATGACGTCACTGACTTTGATAGATATTCCGATCACAATTAATGAGCACGCTCAAATATGAATGTTTCGAGAAAGTTCGTTTATCTTAAGCAAAATGTATATCCGAAGGGAGGTTATTCCTTCGACAAACGTCAAACGAGAAAAAAATCTGTGCGCTTATCTTCAGTCGCAAACGTGGGCGCGATTTATATGTGACAATGTGCAATGTAAAATGAAAGCTGCCACCTATTTTAATAAAAGTGCCAAAAGAAACAGGCAAAGTTAACATTGACGACAACACAAGTCTCGCATATTTTGTTGCCGTCAATCTTAAGGCTCTCCCTGTCTGTAGGCGCTTTCAGCACGTAATTAACCAACTAGCCTAACTCATAATTTTTGCTGCCGCCTAGCAGTCCAAAACCAAGTAGTAAGGGTGCGTTTGTATTAAGTGGTCATTTGGGCGAGTTGGTACTGATTAAACATGATCTAAGTAGCGCACAAGCACAAGGGCAGATGAGAGAAAGATGTAAAGAGGGACAAAGAAGGGAAACACGTAAACGCGCATGTTTCTCGTCTACATCTTTCTCTACTCTGTCCCTGTCTTTTTGTGCGCCCTTTAAACCGTACCTTTGTGTAACTTGGTATTTTTGGAACATATTATGTCCCATATGAAAGGAAAGTACACCGCGCCACACAGTAAAGCGTAAACGTCGACGTTTCTTCTTATCATTTAGATATTATAATACTGAGGAACCCCAATTTTTATAGCCCGATGTTGGTGCCACGGACGTGCCTGTTCCAGCACGCAACTAGTGTTAATGGCTACGCTGTCGTCGTCACAAATAAAATACTCGAGGTACACCCAAGAACTTCTTATGAGTTATAAATGCGAAAGCTTGCACGTTGCTCTTCCACTCCCCTATTTCGTCTGCAACGTACTTGCGTCGACGGTCAAGGGCGCGCGCTCCCTTCGGCGCAATTACATTGGGCGTGGAGCGATGGCGCCGCTGCCTTGCGGACACGCAGCGCCATGGGGTGGCGGTCGTTGAAAATGACACGCAGCGGCCAATGGGAGCCTCGTTTCTTGAAACTATGACGCGCGCCATCCAATGGGACGGAAGCCGAAATCCATAAGCTTCACTCCGCTTCTTTGGGATCGGGGAAACTAAGTGCTGTTTGGCTAGGCTTTTTGCGTGGTTTCAAAGCTGGGAGCCGGCTTCACTCGGAGAAAGAAGTTTAGGAGTCGTTTGGCGCGGCTTCAAGACTGATGACGTCAGCTTGCTTCATGGGACAGTTAATGATTCGCATGACAAAAAAAAGATAAAACCTTGCGATGATTTGGTCATGCCCACAGTGTCGCGCTGTCTACTTAGACACACATTTTTTTTGTTTTTGTTTTAAACTGAGGAGTGTGTATAAATTTAAACTATATGACCCACTTCCTTTTGTATTAAGTATGAGAAAAAAATCAGACACTGTCCTTGCCATTTAGGATATATCTAGAACATCAAACAATAATTAGAAGCAGAACTTCCTGTAGCTAGTGCTAATACGTGCGCCAACGACCTCAAGTGAAAATGAAAGTAAGTATAAACTTTAGAACTTACCGCATTCCGAAACGGCAAGTTAATTTCCAAAATAGTACGGTATTACTTTTAGTCTCATTTGATGGTCCTTCTTACAGCAAAATAGCGTCATTTAAGCAAAATAGGAAACGGTCCGCTTAACACTCTTAATTTAGAAATGTATTTAAAAGAAACTGTCAGGTTTATTGTAGTTCCACAACATAAAGAAAAGCTAATTGATATTGAGTATGAAACTGCATTAAAATATTGTTGTACAAATACTATAATAGAGAACTGTTAGTTCAAAATTTAATAAGGCTTGCTTCCAATAAAAGGCTGAAGGATATCGCTCGTGCCTTAGAGAACACAGTATTTTATTTCTGTATTTTAATTACTGGCTTTACGATTACCATCCCAACGGCGTTGCAGTATAACGTACGACGACAGAATATGTTTGTGATCAGTGTTTATGGGTAAAAGGTCCAGTCTTATACTCGATTACTCTTAATGCTAGCTGACCATATCGTTTTAGACTCAATTTACTTCAAAAGTAAGGCCTTGCTTTGAAATATGGACCTCGCGCCTAAGGCATTCATGATCAGCACGTCACCTCGGAACTCTTGAAGTATCACTCTAAGAAAAATAGATGGTCTTAAAGCTCTAAAGGCAGCATCTGATCTTCTGAACTCCCAGTTGCTCCCCAAAAAGACCTTCCTGTTCAAGCTAGGTACTGTGCAGAAAGGCTGGGGACTAACTGCGCTTGGATGGAACTAACCGAGAGGCGTGCGCAAGCAAAAGCAGTCATAAGTCCTCCTGGTGCATCTGTTTGTTTTAGTCCCCGAAGGCAAACAGAATGCTCCCCAGGAAGACAGCTGACATTTCGCTTGTCTTGCACTGTTAAAAAAAGTCCCGTCATAGTACAGAATCGACCTTCGCTAACTCTTGGTGCCAGATGTTTTCTGTAACCTTCTATAATACCACCAAAGCCGCAGCTCACAGTTGATTTTACCGCTACCATGTGCATTTGTGTAC